TAAGAAACTACAACTTAGAAGAAAAACAGATTTGTGTTTTTTTCTATGTGACTTGCCAATATTGCTACATCCAATCCAATGGATTATGCCAGTTTTTTAAGTCCCTGTCAGGGGACTTAAAAAAAAAATCCATAACATTTAATTTACGGTTTTCTACTGTGCTAAAATTTCCTGACTCACAGCACTAGTGCTGCTGCAGCTCTACAGTCTACTGTGGCAGCCAAAATAAAAATTACTCTAACTTTAAACAGTCCATTTGTCTTTCATTGACTCAGACAAGTTCCACATTCTTAATGGTTATTACCCTAAATATGTAGCACACTTAGGAGTGGGAGAAAAATGTGAAAAGAGGGGAAGCGACCCACTTAAAAATATATTGGTTTTGTGAAAAGCTTTATGCAAATACTGCAGCAAGGACATGTGATTCTTTTAATCATGCATTTAAGTTATAGTACTTGAGGAAGGGAAAAAAATAAAAAAATCAGAACATACCTGGGCCTTTCTGGAGAAGGGTTTGGACTACGAGGGGGAGGGGTGCGGGGAACTGCAGGTTTAGGAGCTATGGTGGCAGCAGGGACCAGGCCATGAGCTATATGTTTCTAAACAATTTAAAATAAAATTAGTTGACAATGACTTTTAAGGATTATAATGAAAAAAAAAAAAAAACAACAAACCACAGAATTGAAAAAGCACAAAAACTGACAATGTGAAATAATGTAAAAAGGAAGAACAATGACATGCAATTGATGCAAACTGAGGACTTGAAATGGTTCCAATTTAACTTTTTACATGTATGAACAGCTGCTAATGGAGGTTAGAAAGTAATTTACATGAGAACCATGAATGGAGGTTTTCTACCCACTCTATGGCACAATCTGCAAAACCAGAATTTTAACATAATCATTTTTTCCTGTATATACATACAAGAAAAACAGGACTAGAACATAACTTCTTTCAAAATATTCAAATGCTGCTTCAGAGTGACAATATTTGTCCCTTTCTTCAAGAATCTGTCAGTCAGAACTAACCCTCAGTCACAGCAGCACGAGATGGACAAATAACCCTGTCATTAAGTCTTGCAGTCAAAGGTTCAACCTGAATTAAAAAAAAAATCTAATGAATGTTTTAGCAGCAAACACAGTAATTTTTTTTAAAAGGGATAATATTAAACACCAGCTCAGAACTGGGACCAGAGTTCCCTACAAAGAATGGAATCATGTAACAGTTGAGGTTGGAAGGGAGCTCTGGTCTAGTACAAGTTGCTGCTCAGAGCTGGGTCAACCAGAGGGAGTTGCTGGGGACCCTGTCCAGTCACATCTTGTGTATCCCCAACCTGGTCCAGTGTTGAACCACCTCACAGTATTTTATTATCATGTTTAAGCTGAATTGTCTGTGTTTGAATTGGTGCTCATTGCCTTTTGTCCTGTCTCTAGGCATCAGAATTAATGAGGCTATAATAAAATCCATCAACTTTGGATGGAGTAAAACAGGCCAAGTTCCTGCTATTTCTTCTACAGAGATTCCTCCCACCCCAAATTATTCTTTAATTTACTACTCCAACAGGGGAATGAAGAGGCAAAATGGGAAATACTTCTGTCTTCACAGGAAGGCACATCAAATAACTAAACGGTGCATTACAAAGACTGCATTTTTACTCAGCCTTATCTTACTGCATGTTAATGCAGTACTTAATGCTCCTGAACTCTGCAGGTCTGTCTGGGACACACCGCTTTGTTTGGTAAAGGCTGGTGACTGGAAATATCTTACTGTGATCAGGGAATATGGGGAATCAGGGTATCAGGGAATACAGCTGAACTAAGAGTAAAAAGCATAATAACAACAGAGGATCGATACTTTAATTCTAGTAACAAGAGTTCAATCAGTTCAGGTGCGTTGGGAGATAACATTGCTGGCAACTCTGCAACCTTCGGCTGCCCTGAGCTCTCATTACGTTAATCTCCCGACGTTAATTTCATTACATTAATTCACTGTTAAGAAAACGCCAACGTGCTTTCCTGTAGTTGGTAACGGTAACATGTAAGTGGTTCCAATGAGAATAGTGTTTTCCTCTAAGAGAAGGCAGATCCTGGTGTTTGCTACACTCACACAGCTGTGCAGTCTGCCAACTATAAGTAGCTACTGTAATACTAACTGGAACCACTTATGTGTTAACGTCACCAACTACAGGAGAGTCTGCTGGGTTCTTTTAACAGTAAATTAATACAGTAACTTGTGTCAGTTCACTTTAGAGCAGTGAATGTGCGCTTTGAGGATCGCCTTGGTAAAGAGGGAGCGGCACTGCCAGCGCGGAGCCAGCCTGGGGTCCAGCCCGGGATCCAGACCTCTGGAGAAGCCAGGCAGGACTGGTACTGAGGGAAAGGAGCACACCAGCCTCCGGACACCTTCCTGGCTTTGCCTGGGGTTTATTTTCTCCCCGATTTTCACCTCGGTCAAACCGTTCACCGATCCCCGGCACCGGCCGCCTTCCCCGGGGGGCCTCCCCTCGTCCCGCCCGCGCACAGCCCAGCGCTGCGCTGCTGCCCCCGCTCACGGGGATACCCCGAGCGATACTCACGAAGGGGCCGGGGCGGCCTCTCCTGAACAGGAACGACATCG